GTGAAATCACATGGTTCTTAGCTTTTCTGCCTGACCTATATGGCTTAGCATGATGTTCTCAAGGTCCATCCATGTTGTTACAAATGGCATTATTTCATCTTTTCCTATGGCTGAGTAGCATTCCATTATATACGAGTGTATGTACCACATCTTCTTTATCCAATCATCATCTATTGAAGGATACTTCGGTTGTTTCCATATCTTGGCCACTGTAGAAGTGTTATGTCTTCTTCATGTGTTAGTCTTTTTGTACATAAGGAAAGAAACCCACTAAAATTAGATCATGGCAGAAAAGAAGGAGCACTCTTTTAAGAATACAACAGGTAAAATCCAAAGACGGTAAGCAAAATATATCTGAGCCACACAAGTCCTGGGCTGGGATGCTGAAAATCAATAGGTCACTCACGTTCACTCCCAACACTGCTTCTCTCTAAGTGCCTGCCCCACACCTCCCTTGAAGTCTACAACGGATTCCTTTGCCGATTCACCTTGCACAAGTCCAATGTGGTCTCTTTCACTCACTTTCTAAAGCTGCATCATGGCTTTTCAGCTGTCGTGCAAAATTTTCTAGTGACAGCAAGCCTCATAGCTCAAGCCAGAGTTAACTGCAGTCACAGCACCACCAGTGGATGGGCTGGATTTCTGTTAGGCATCTGATGAAATCAGTTGTGACCACGTAGAGGGCAGGGCCATTCCTGGGGTATGTGGGGCTGCCTCTCAGAGAGGTAGGTTTTCTAAAGCGGACTGCAGGAGGTGTGAGCACTGATGGCCATATGGACTATGACCTTCCACTTGGGGACTGGTACATTTCTGTGGGCTTCCATCACCATGGGATACACTTTCACAGTTCTCAACATACTGTATTGCAATTAAATGCTAATATTCTTGTCCCTCCCACTGGGCTAGGAGCTTTTTGTGAAGATGGATTATTCTTGTTTTTCTCCTTTATCTCCAGTATTTCTAGTACAGTATACAGTAGGTAATCAATAAGTGTGTGTTCAGAGGGCTAGTGTATTAGCATTCAGTATAAATATTTTCAATCTATCTTTCATACTAAATATATTATTTTGGTAATTATATGTAACTAATGAAATATATTATGATAATTTCTTTTTCTTTTTACCCTTTAAATATGTGCATTTTATTGTATGGTAATTATAATATCTTCATTTCTTATATCTTAGTTCTGGAGTCCTAGAGTCCTAAGTCCTTGTTTTATTTTCTCCACAAAAAATGGAGATGATTTAGAGGAAAAAATGCTATATTTTATAAGAATTAAGTAAATGGAAAATTACAGATGCATATACAGCCTCTAGAGCAGGACCTAGAGTTCCTTATTAAAAGAGTGATTACTAAAAAATCACTTTTTAAAAAAAGCTAAAATTCAACAGAGGAATTAACATAGCATAATACAAAAGAGTTTTAAGATAAAATTAAAGAAGTAAAGGAGGAACAGAGGACAAATGAAAAAGCTAACAGACATGAAGCAGATAGAAAACAGCAGCAGAGTGACAGGTGTAAATGCAGATCATCAGCAACTCCGGGCTCTGTGCAAAGTGAGGTCTCAGAGATGGCAGGGAGGGGCAGAGGCTGCAGACAACGGAAGAGTGAGGGACTGGCAGCCGCTGCCTTGAGATGGGGTATATGTGTTCCATGTTTCCCACAGTTTCTACTATTCTCAATGGCATCTTACACTTCTGGGTTCACGTGACGCAATTTGGATCCGACTGAAGACAAGGTGTCTGTCTGCCATCCCAGGCGGGTAAGCATTCCTTCCTGCCCCCACCGGCTCTCCCCATGTAGACCCATATCCAGCTGCAGTGCGCAAACCTTCCCCAGAATTACGTATATGTAAATCATGCCTAATTTATGTAAAAATAAAGTGGGGATATTCTCTCTCTTATGGGTAAAAACTGGATGATTTAAATCCAAAAGAGAATACATTTAAATTTTTATGTAAATCTGAGGAATGTTAAACATTTTGTTGGCATTTAGAGAGAGCAGTGCAATTTTATGGTATTATTTGTAACAGCGTTTTATAAATGAGGAAACCAAGTCTCAGAGAGTTCTTGTAGCCTCTACCAGGCCACATAGCTCTCCCTGCTTGTTCCAGAGAGCATGCTTTTGTGCTTACAAAAAAGAAAGAGGAATGAAGATGTCATACAAAAACCTTAAAAATAATTTAGTGTCATAGAAAAACTTTTTTCTAGGTTTCTTAAGGATTAAAGAGTCTCGTGGTGTTTTTCCTTTTAAGACTGGACTAGATGTTTTGGGTGTTTCACCAGAGAATTGAAGAAAGCTGGGGAAGCTTCAGAGCAGCTGCAAAAATAATTAGTCTGCAGCATATTTCATTTTCTAAAAACTGAGAAGAGTCGCTTCTCAGCCTCCTTAAGACGTCATAGTTCAAACATAGAATAATAGGCTTTGTTTGGTGTTTTGGCCTGTTCTACTCTAAAGCACCAAGGGAGAAATGTTTAAATACTTCTGTATAGTAAAACTTAAGAAATCTTATAAAATTTTAAACTAATATCTTCATGATGCACTAGGTTAGAGCCCTCAATCACTGAAACAAAGTGTCTTAGGACTGAAAGTGAAACATTCCTTGCTCACCTTTGCACTAACCAGAGAACCGTGTCGTGTTGCGGTTTCCTGTCTCCTGACCTCATGGTGCTTTGGGGAGTAAAGCTGTCTCTCAGATCATTTAGAATCTAAATAAGACCAAGGCAAGGCGCAATGACAGGCATTGTGATGTCTGCAGCTCAACAATATGAGTGGCACACTTGATTCATTTTTATTCCTCTGATTTTAGAGTTGCAACTGGATTTTTATAGTGACCCATAAAAGTCCCAACTGGCACAGGCAAGGCTTGAGCCTAAGGCAGAGCCCACATCCTGGTGGTGTGTGTGCCAGGCCCACCCCGCAGATGTGTTACATTTGGTTTGGCCTTTAAAGTGTTTAAAGAAATTGTTTTTATGAATTTTGTAGACAAAAATTTTGCAATCTGGAGTATTCAAACAAACATCTAAATTTCCTGTTTCTCTTGAGAAATCTATCTGGCCACAATGGGCACCCGATCTAGTTACTGATGAGTAAGTGCTGCCCCCTTTGGCGTGGTGCATCGCTGGCCTAAAAGAGGTTGCCTCACTTACTTTTGGTTCCTGAGGATGCCTAGATGTTCGAGTTTGTGACCCTGAAGACTGTACACGGACTTTTCCGATGGCTGAAGTCTTTAAAGTGTGTGTTGTCTTTTTTTTTCTTTTTTGCCTTAGGATGCGGACAATACACTTACTCCATTTGTTTTGTCAGGTTCAAAGCCACTTTGGAATGTCTCTGTTGAGTAGCTTTTAGAAGTTTTGACACTCATTTGACTGGTCTCCTTTGAGTAAATCTTTGTCCTTGAATTTGATTTTTGGGAACAGTTAGGGGAAAATTTGGAGCCAAGTCTGGGGTAAAAAATATGTGACTATGAAATGTTGAAAACTTGTTTCTCTTGGGTGGTTTGGAAGCTGACTCAAAGGTAATTAAAAAAAAGCTCAATAATGCTTTGATAGATCGCCTTCCCTTTTTCCAAATGTCAGTTACCCTTCCCACTAAAGGCTTTGAAATATCCTATTGGTGACTATAATGCATATATGACTTGGGTTTTAATGTTTTGTTTATTGCCTTTGTCCCCTTGGACCAGACTGTAAGCCACTTTGGAAAGATTTACTTTTATTCATCTTTGATGTGGTATGCATAATTGGAGGCTAACGGCTTGTATTGAAGGACTCATTATTGAGTGAGTGAATGAATGAATGAATGAGTGAATGAATGAGTCAATGGAAATGGAAAGCCTCCCAAGTCGACCACATTAAAGGGGACAACACACACTTTATTGGTGAAACACCTGTTCTCATTTTAAAAGCCATTTGAATATACTTGTGTAATCAAAATGAATTGAACACGACTTGTTTTGGATTGTATCGTCCTCCCTGATCCGTGAAGGCAGCCCCAGGTATTTGCAATGCCCTTGGAAGTCACTGGTTTCCCCTTGACAGGCAAGACTCCCTTCACCACACATTTGTGGTTTTTCTAACTGATGAGCAAGGACATGTAAAAGTTGTAGAATCAAAGGTGAATCAACACCCACCAAGAATTACGGCCTACTGTTCGTGCCCTGGTTCAAAAATAAACGATCAAAGTAGTTCAGTTTGCGTTAGATGTTCGATGTTAGGTAACGGAGAATCAACCTCAGGAGAGGGCGGCATGATACTATGAAGTCTTCAGTATAGAAAGTGTAAAAGAACCCAAACGTAAACATTTTAAACCCAAAGCAACGACAAAATCCCAGCAACTCCCCCCCCACCCCACACACACACCCATCCCGTGGAAAACGAAGTATTCCTTCGGTATGTGTTTTGTAAAACTGGATCGTTAAGGCTGGATGTTCCGCTCTCATAATAGCATAAATAGTGCATAGTAGGGATTTGAAGGAATTCTTGTTCGTTTCTACGCGGGAGGAATAGAAGGTCGCAGTCCCGCATGCTCGGCCCTACACTGTATTTGCGCGTGCATCCAGAAACACGCGCCTGTCCCTGCTCCACTCTTCCACCTTGCAGCCCCGCCGCTGCACCCTTCTGCTCCCGCTCTATTTCGGGGCCTCATGAGCTCATGCCCTCTGCAGACCACACTGCAATTCCAGTCCAGTCCAGCCCGAGCCGCGAGGCTACGCAGGGCGATTCCTGCAAGTGTTCGAAAGGTGGCCGGGGCGCAGGGAGGGGAAGGCTTTGGAGGAAGTTGAAGACCCGCCCACGTAAAGGACCCAAAATAACCGACACGCTGTGTGCCCGAAATCAGACAGGAAGCCAAATAATCAAGGGCGTTGAGTTGCTTTCCCCTCACTCCTAGAGCTGGGCGAAGGGCGCGCAGCCAGGGCTCTGGCGGCGAGGGGCGGTCACCCCGCGGGCAGGGCGGGGCGGGGCCGCCGCGGAGCCTATTAAAGGCGCGGCCGGGTGGCGGGGCGGGAGCGCCGGGGCCACGATGGAGCGCGACGGCTACGCGGGGGGCGGGAGCCGCGGCGAGGGAGGCCACGGCCGCCGGGAGGGCCCGGCGGGGAACGGCCGCGACGCGAGCCGCGGCCCGGGAGCCGAGGCACCCGGGGACCCGCAGACGGCCGCGTCTTTGCTGGCCCCCATGGACCTGGGGGAGGAGCCGCTGGAAAAAGCAGCGCGCGCCCGTCCCGCCAAGGACCCCAACACCTACAAAGTGCTCTCGCTGGTAGGTGCGCGGCCCGGGGTCCCGGGCGGGGAGGGCGGCGCGCAGCTCCTGCGCGGCGATCGCGGTCAGCACCCGGTGCCCGGAGAGAGGCACGCGCCGCTCGTCACTTGCCCTTTCCACTCTGCGGATGGGGATACTTGCTCATCATTCCAGTGCCTGTACTTTACCCCGGGGGAATAACAGTTCACTCTCACTGGCAGTACCTGATGCTTATAAAAGGGCCTGTTTATAGAAGCAGGCTTAAAAAAAAATCGTGATCTTTGGAAATGCCACTTGTAACCCTCAGAGAGTACAAGGTTCTTAGAGGAAAGAACGACCAACCAGAAAGCTGTTGGTCTTGGGAACCGCCAATAATGTGTCACCCCTGCTGGGTGGCGTTTGGGTGGCTCTGCGGGCAGTGTCGGTGACTTCCCTGATCCCATTAGCTGATTACACTTGGAAAGATTTAGCGGAGCTCAAGTTTTATCAGAACTTTAGAAAACACATTTCCCTTTGGTTCTGTTTAAGAATTTCCTTGCATCTGTTCAAAATGTGTGTGTAAAATGTTTATGATTCTCCATCCACTCTTTTCACCGTAAGCTACGTGGTTTTTTGTTGCTAACAAAAGTCCCCATTATTCCTCTGCTCTTTTGTTATGACAGTTGCAGGATCCACAGTCAAGTTTATGAAATGGGGGGAGGGGTTGTTTTTCAGTCTGTGGTGAGGGTCTGTGGTGAGGAGTGCTGGGCTGAGGGTCAGAAGCAGGTGTTCTTGGTTTCATGCCGGAGATTGTTGAAGCCTCGGATAACCTGTCTTTGAACCCCAGTTTGTTCTGTGTTAAAATGAGGACATCAACCCCCTTGCACGTTGTGTAGGATTACTGTGAGGATCACATGGAACAATGTATGTGGGGAAGTCAATTGAAATCTATGAGGAGATGCAATAATTCTTATTGTGTTATTTGGAAAGAACAGATTTCCATGTGTTGGGCACCCTAAAATATATCCTCATTTACATATTATGATTGAACAATGCTGTGTAGAGAATATCTTTTCTGATTTTGAAATCTTTTTTCCTTTCATTGGAATTTCCATTTTCACCATATTTTGGGTATCATGGAGATGTTAGAGTACTTAGAGGAACCAATCACATGTTTTTATCTGAAGATATTTGTTGCATTATATGTCACCACTGATGAGAACTTAGTTTTTGTCTAGAGTCACGTTTTCCATTTTTGTTATAATGGGAGATCTTAGGTTTTTATATCCTGGTCACCTAAATTATTTAGTATCAGTACTTTCAGGCGTTTAGCACATTACAAGGTATTCAGTAAGTATGCATTGAATCTGTATGTGAACTCCAATGTGAAATCAAATCTACCGTATTTTTTGGACTGTAAGATGCACCTTTTCCCCCCAAATTTGGGAAGAAAAGGGGTGTGTGTCTTATAGTCAGAATGTAGCTTACCTGGCTTGCTGTGGGGGAGGGAGGAAAGCAGTGGCCTATGTTATTTATGTTATTAGACATTTTAGCACATTTTGGGGGGTTCAAAAATCTTTTTCCTATTTTCCTCTAAAACCTAGGTGCATCTTATGGTCCGGTGCATCTTACAGTCCGAAAAAATCCATAAATGCCCATAGTCTCGAAAGGTTTTGAAATTTCTAACTGCTAAATTTAGTTGTTTAATCTTTCCTACTCGTTTACTTAGAGATCCACAGTCAGTGTCCGTAAAAGTCTGCCTGTGGAACATGCATTCCAATCTTTGACCTTGGCAATCGGCTGGTGGGACAGCATTCTGTTCTGCTCTGATGACACAACCCTGGGCATTTGACACGGCAGGTCCTAGGACTTACTTCCACAAGTAGGACAATGCTGAATATATTTTTTTTTATCTCATTGGATGGGATCTTTTGCTCTAACACAAATTGAATTGGAAAGAACCTTTGCCTCATGTCTTTTGATGAAATTCTGTGGAACATCACTATACACCAAAACTTGTTGCTGTATTTTTAAAACTGTTTAATTTGTCCAGTCTTCTTTTGGTTCCCTATGTCAGTACCCTTCTGCCCCCAGACCTCTTCCAAATGATGCACATCTGAAGGGAAGAGTCTCCCAAAGAAATGTGACAGTTGTCATCAAAGAGCTCTGGGTCATGTCTTCTACAAATGAGCTGCAATTATGGGATTCCTTTTTCAGTTTAAACATGAGCATACTTTTCATAAAGCTAAAGAAATGGATTGACTCAGTGCATCTGGGGTTGAGGTTATGAGAGGCCAGCCACCCAGGAGGTCCATATGCACACAGTTCATATCTAGCAGGATAAATGCAAGAGGTGCTCTGCAGGAGAAAATCAGTGGCAACCTGACTGTTGCATTTTTAAGAAGATATTTCAGATAAACTTAAATGATGTAGGTATGTGAGTGGCTGCGGAGGGGGAAGATTCTGCCCTACCCTTGCTTCTCCCCAGTGTGGTTTTTGATCTCAAGGGAAGACCATCTGGCTCTCCTCTAGGCACCAAGCCAAACTGCAGAAAACTCTCAGGAGTTTTTCTACTTGCATAGAAAGTAGTGTTCTCTTTAGGCTTCATAGGCTTGTTCAATACTAGACACCTTTCCTTGGTTCCAAATTAACTTTTGAACTGAAATGTCAACTTCCACTGCAGTTGGACTTGCAGATTGATCTGAAATGTCCTTGTCCCCTGGTATAATTTTCAAAGGATTAGGTAACTTTCAACCCCTTGGCAGTACATTTCCTCCATTCTCCAGTGAGCTGGTCTACAGCATTATTATTTTTTTTTTTGTGACCTTCTGCTGTACTTACAAATACATAGATCTCTGTATGTATAAAGAGCCTGTGTGTCGGTGGCGGTGAGTGAAGACTACTTTCACCTTTTAATGAAAGAGTTCTTTCTAAGTGGCAGAAGTAGCCTTGTTTATCAGAAAGTCAGACATGAATGTTATGCATTCTGTTAACTTCTCTCTTCTTCCTCTTGCAATACGTTATGTTATTTCTAGAATTCAGCATGTAGAATATTTGAGATAGTGCTCTGCTCCTAATTTGAATTGGAGTTGACATTGCTCTTTGGTTTATAAAATTTAACATCTGTCCAGCCCTAGTTTCACGTTTTATTTCAAATGACCAGCACATCTTAAAGACCAGAGGTCTTCTGTTTGCCCCGTATTGTATTTGTTTCACAGGTTCTAATAAAATGCGCCAAATGTTTCTTGGAATCCAGCAAGAATGCTGTGATTGCTACCGGGACTAACACAGTGTCTCACACTCCGTGTCAGGTTCTGGTTGAATGAATGAATGAGTGCACTGCATTTTCACTTACACCTAGTGACACTTTGACCTGGAAAAGGGCTAGGTGGAAAGACAAAACATGCAACCACTTAACTCATATGGCCAGTTGAAGGTCAGGAACCCAAATATAGGTACACTAAGAGAGATGAAACTTGGGTATAAATTTAGGGAGATCAAACATTTCATTAGTATATAATGGTAATTAACACTATAATATATAATTGTATATAATTATTGCTGTAGAATGGAGATGGAAAAGTCAATGAATGAACTATAAACAGGAGTTACAACACTTGTTTTCTCTTCCTTTCTTTTGCTTTGAGTTATATTCTGGTCTTTATCTGTCTCAGCATTTGTATCTCAGCTGTTTCTACTTCATGCAGCCTCTCATGGATACACAGCCACCCTTTCAGTATCTTTTTTCTTCTTTTCTACAGCACTTTTTCAGGTAACTCTGGACACTCAGTTTTGCTCTCTCCTGCCTTATCATATCTTAATTTTGTTCTTGATGATTCCATTGCTAAATATTTGTGACTTTTAAGATATAGCAAATGTATTTTTATTGATAGCATGGCTTGTTGGACAATAAGCCAGAGAACTTAATAGTGATTCATATTTTTTTTTTCTTTTTTGGCCTGGGGAAGGGCTTTTCAAGTTCCAAACAATTTAGGAAAAAATAAGCTTTTGGGATACAACTTGTAATTAGAGATCTGCCTGCCTTTGGTTAACATAAACATGCCTCTATCAACTATGAGATATCCTTCAAACAACAAGTAATCAACAAAAATGTGTCTGGCAGAACAGGGATTACTCTGATAAGCCTAAATCCTGTGCAACCACAACTGATAATCAGACTGCTGACCCAACATGAAAAGTCTTTGGCATCAGATAAAAGCTAAGTTATGTATTTATCAATAAAAGAAAATATAATAATACATTTAAGAGAGAATTTTTAAAAAATGTCCTGAAAGTTTAGCTAAATATTAACTGGATAGAGCACTCAATTTCCTGAGTATTTTAGTTATCTGAGATTGAATTACAAGAATTAGTATTCTTAGGATAGAGTCCCAGCAGTGGAATTGCAGGGTCAAAAGGCAGATTCATTTTTAGTTTTCTGAGGAAGTTCCATACTGCTTTCCATAGAAAATTAAAAAAAAAAAGAAAAAAAAAGAATTAGGATAACATCTGTAGTATTTTTAATTTTCTTTTTCACTCACTTTTAGTTTTAGAATGAGATTTGGCAATATAGTAGTGAAAACTTAAATGATTGTGATTATTCACATAGCTCTCTGCAGTTTTAGAAAGCATTTCCATACATTCTTTTTTAAAAAAGATTTTATTTATTTTTAGAGAGAGGGGAAGAGGGGGAGAGAAAGAAACATTGGTGTTTGAGACAAATACTGATCAGTTGCTTCTCGCGACCCCAGCTGGGGATCTGGGCAGCAACCAAGGCATGTGCCCTGACCGGGAATTGAACCGAAGACATTTTGATTTGTGGGATGACGTTCAACCCACTGAGCCATACAAGTCAGGGTCCATATATTCTTAATTGATCCTCAACACGTCAACACCCTTGAAATAGGAAAGGATGGCGACAATCCTACCTTACCAATAAGGAAACTTATCTGGCTCAAGATGATAACAGTGGAGATTCTTAAATATTAGTGTGCATAGAAACTACTTGGGAACTTAAAGAGGTGGATTCCTGGGCTCCAATC